ATGATTTAAGTAGAAATGGATTTTTGTAAGAAAATGGTTTACTTACCCTCTTGCTATTACATTGAATTCAATTAATTGTTTAATGAATAGGTATCTAATTTCAATTTGTTTGCATTTTTATTAAAAAAATAGGTAGTTTGGAATGTTTACGCTGTGTTTCACATTTAATTTCACTGAAAACTTAAAGCAAATTAAAACTTAAAGATAATTTAAATCGTAGATAGATTTAAGTAGAAATGGATTTTTGTAAGAAAATGGTTTACTTACCCTCTTGCTATTACATTGAATTCAATTAATTGTTTAATGAATAGGTATCTAATTTCAATTTGTTTGCATTTTTATTAAAAAAATAGGTAGTTTGGAATGTTTACGCTGTGTTTCACATTTAATTTCACTGAAAACTTAAAGCAAATTAAAACTTAAAGATAATTTAAATCGTAGAACAAGAAAACACAACTGTGAAATCCACAGAAACGTCAAATTGCAATGTCCTAACCTAACTTTTTGTTTTATTATTCATATTTAATTTTACAATAATTTAATGAAAAATAATAAACATTAACAGTAAAACAAACAAATTAGTGCTTATTATAAATAAATTAAACCAGTTTAGTACGTTAATTTCTTAGAAAAGGATTAATTTGTCAAAACATTACCCCTAGCGAGAAAAAATCGAACTAATTACTTGCCTCATAAAAATTTTTATCGGCCTAGGCCCATAACAAGTTATTTCTTTATCGAATGTTGACAGCAATAAAGTTTAAAATATAGACCGCGTGGAGATAAAAGTATTTACCTTGTATTTGATAGGACTGATGGGTTAGCAAAACATAATTTTATAAAAACATTATATGGGTCCCTTTTAGCCCCATCTAGGCAAACTAAAGGAATTTCAAATGGAACTCCCAGCAGTAAAGTTTAGCTTACAAAGTTTCTTATTTTAGTTTTAATATCGTAGCGATGGCAGTGCAGTGTGACAATATATATAGTTTTATAATCTGTGTGACAAAAGGGACATGTGACAAAGGAGACATCTTTCACAATAAAAAAATATATTTTTCAAGTGACACTATAAATGCAAATAAAACATTGCGTTATAAAAAAAATTAAATACTGCAAACACTTACCGAGTAAATGCCATGAAGAAAGATAACCTTCAAAAACACACGCTGGTTATTTCTAACGCGCAAAATAACAATTGCCTGCAGCGGCGCAATCTCGTGCCACAGTTATAAACTATATGGGTTACAAAATTTTTTTTATAATAATGCCAAACTTGTGTGTATTTTATTTCATATTTTATAAAGTTCTTTTTATTTAGGCGGTTCGTGACGAAGTAGATATTAAATGTATGGACAAGGTTTGGTCACGCTTAAAAAAATATTTACAGACATGTCATCACATTCTTTTTTAGTACTTAGGAGCTACTTATTTGTTATTTAATTTTAATGTTAGAATATTTTTTTCTACACAAAAACTATGAAATATCGATGGTTATTTGACAAAACATCGTAAGCGACAAAACCTAAATTTTACAGGAGAGCTTTATTTTTAAAGTTATTTATCTGAAAACTGGTGAGAAATTATTTTATTAATGTAAAATTCAAATTTTATAAGAACATCTTTATGAAAATATAAAATTAGTCTTGTCGCTTAAGTTACATTTACGTTACTTTGTGGGATATAGATTTGATGATTACTTTTGTCAAAACATCGTTAGCGACATTTATTTTTTTGCACTTATTATTAAATAAAAAAAAATTACAAAAAAATTAGTTTATAAAATATCACCAACGATATTTTGCCATACAATGTTTAAAAATAAAATTCTACATTAGCTTTCTTTGAAAAAAACGAATGATTTTTATTCATAAACCAATATCTAACCCAAGAAGCCTACACGAGGAGCCCGAACTTAATAGGGGACATTGACAAAACCTGTCCTCTACAAATTAAGCTTCTTTTTTTTCACCACAAGCGGCCCTGATTGTCGATCTAGCGTTTTTCGGTACAAATTAAACAATTGTTTCAGAATAAACGAAACACCAGCGCCCTCTTATCTTATGAAGATTCTTGTTTACATTATGTTTCTTCTTCTTCTTGACGTGCTTATTAACCAGATACTGGTTTTAACGTCCAATAATTTCAGAAGAACCAAAAACCATTGGACAACGGTTGTCTAACGAACACGTGGACACAAATAGGTTATGTAACCATAAAATTTATTACTAGCTTTATATAAATTCCTTTTATCCCTTGTAAAAGGACTAATCGAGGAATATTATCGAGCACCAGGAATATTTATATTTCGGGAATCCCATTTTGCCCCCCCCCCAGGTGCAGAAGTCACTTATATTTCACCAACTTTTTCATAGAGCAACCACATTCTATGAGATTCAAAATGGAACTCCGTTTACATGATGTTCGGACTCCTTGTGTAGGCTCCATGATCTAACCCATGGTACTATGATCTAACCTTTATAAATTTGAGTCAAATTATTTGACGCTATAACAATTATAATTAGAATAACTATTAATAATAATGTAATGAAAAAAAGGAAGCTTTTGATCAAATAAAATATTGTTTTAAAACTTGGTAGCAATCACCACGATGCAGGTATACTCACGACTATTTCCCTCGTCTTAATTTCCACCAATCACAAACACGCAATTTTGAATTACAAATGGTTTCTAGGTGAAAAAACTGTGTGACAGCACCTGTCAGCAGTTTATTCGAGTTTACCCGCGGCAAAACTTGACAGCTGGTGTCACCAAAAATTGCAATTTATATTTTAATTGTTAACTGTTACTCATGAAATAGTCTTGTCAAATACCATTCGGGCATCTAATTTTTCCTGTGAAAAAAATCGAAAAAACACAATGCTAAGTAATATTTTTTAACAAAATGCATTCGTGCAGGTGCAAAAATCCTCCTCTTCGACTCGGATTTTTGTTGCCACCAGCACTCATGCTTTTTGTTAAAATATTACTTAGCAACGTGTTTTTTCGATTCTTTTCGGAAAAATTAAATGCTCTTATGATATCACTTACAAATAAACTGTTTAGAGCGGGAATAACGCCTTGATAGATCAAGGCGGGAGCACAAAATTATCGTAAGCGACACAATGTTAAATCGCAAACGCCATGTCTCGGAGTTGCTTACGATTATTTTTCGGGAGCATATAGGCGCTTACGTTATAAATCGGTAACAAATTAAAAAGAGGCGCTTACAATAATAAAAATATTCAAACTGACCAATATTAGATTCCAAAATTGGGATAAATATTATGTTAACATGTGCAGCTTATCGTAACTTACACTTTGATAAAATAAAAAGGAATTCAACAAAATTGTCGCTTACGATGTTTTGTCAAATATGATGGGCACATGGGGTTAAGATTAATTGAAAAAAATTCCATTAATTTTTGTTATTTTAATTTTTTATTTATTAATATAAATATATATTAGCTGTCTTATTTATTATTTTTCTAATAAGATATGTAAGGGACAACAAATGGCAGAGAGCCTTAATAGTATAATGACCCATATACACAGAAGTTGATATTTTATATAAGTCTGTCTTATTTTATTTTAAACTTTATATGTTTTAAATTAATTGATACAAGTGGTTTTTAAAATCAAACTTAAAAAACTAAAAAAAAGAAAAAAAAATCATCTGCAAACGAGTATTCTAGCTTGCCGTGTTTACTTATACATGAGTGACAAAACACAATCGACTGTTCAGTGGACCATTGCAATGGTCTGCGAAGGTTGGTCAATTTTACACAAAAGTTTTTTTTTGTTCATATTTCAGATATCGTTTTTAGTGTTTCCGTTTTAGACCCATCCTAGTTTTAATTCCGAATGAAAATATATAAATTGAGATTTGTAATGGATCAATGAACATTGCAGTGGATTTAATTAACTTTTATTTGTTTTAAACCAGCAATGACATTCCTCTTAGCTGCTAAAACTCTATACAATTTTTAATTACATCATATAACTAAATTTGCCCAAGCCTGCCATATTTTAAGCAGGAAATTGAAATAAAATCACATATGTCAAGCAATAATGCATTTATTTAGATTTTATATAAAAATATAAATGTTTTAAAAATTACACACATATTTCTGTAACCTAGAGCCAACCTGTATTAGGTCCACTTTTTTAAGAGTGGCATTTTACATGTTTAACCACTACATTTTCCGCTCTTTTCAATGGTTAACCAATCCTCCAACTTTTTTGATATAGAACTGTTAAAAATGATATTAAGCCCAGGAAGGGGTTAGTGCACTAAGCAATTGCTATTTTTTGGTTCTAAGAAATTTACAGTTTAATGTGGTATTAAGTCCAATAAAACTGTTTGGCTCGGTAAAATTGGACTGTATAATAAAATTAATTATTTTAAATCCATATGATTGTCCGTCCAGTTGTCAAGTATCAAATCAAATCATTTTTGTTTTATTACAGCCAAACAGTAATTATTCAACCCCGGTTTAGCAAATTTTGGTATTAAGTAAATTAAAGTCCATTTTATTTGTTTTTCTAAAAGTAACAATAGCAACCGCACCATTTTACTTCCCAGAAATAAAATAATATTTTTTATGTATGTTGAAAACATTAGGTTATCATCTCTTTTGGTTCCAAAGTTAAACGCGTTTACAACCTTAATTTTTCTCTCCTGGACAATTTCAAAAGTGCGACTTAATACATTTTGGTTCTAGAGTACAAATATATATATTTTAAAACTTATCACAGAAATATACACTACATATCTATATGCTACAGCAAGTGGTTTAGAGGTGTTTATACATAAAATCGTTTATGTAAAGAATAAAAAATATTTTGAGTTATCACTTCAAATAAATAAAAATACATTTGACACCGTCCAAAATTCAACTTTAGTTTTTATTATTTGATTAGTTAATTTTAAGTTATTTTTCGAAAATCTTCTTAGTAACTTTTTCAAAACAATTAAAGGCTATATATTTTTTATATTTTCATTTATTGGGTATAGGACTAAACTCTTGTTCTTCATTGTGAGGTGCTTCATAAGCATACTTCCAAATGTCGACCAAACAAACACTGGAATGAAACCTATAAAACATCATTAGAGGTATGCACAAGTGTCCCAATATGGTCCATAATTCTTCTCCGTAAAACTGGTCTCTATGGTCCAAAATACCATGCGATTCTACCTCGAAGGTCTGCGAAATCCAGGAAGCCACATTGCAGACTATAAGGAATGTAACCAGTTCCCTTCCAGGTTTTTGCTTGCGAAGAGTTCGACTTTTGCTACATCTACGAAGCCCATCTATTATAAGAGGACTTTGAACCAATACTTGTATAACCTAAAAAGCGAATACGGTAAATATACCTTATTAAAAAAGTTACATTGACTACCAAGTGGGGATATTTGTCCAAAGAAATTTCGTAATTATAAATTAAATAGTTCAAATCTATTAAATCACCAAATTTTGGTAATGAATTTTAGAATGTATTGAATTTCTTTATTAGGGGATTGGGACACGGACACAGAAGAAGAAAACGCAGCACACAACCAATAAACGATAAGCTCCCACAGCGAAATAACAATACCCAAAAATCGTTATGTCAAAAACTTTCTAAAAGTCCAAAATAGATTAAAAAATGGCTCGTTTTAATAAAAAGGGTGAGGTTATAAGTTTTTGTAGTATTACTGTAAAAGAGGATAATTTTAAGTATCACCCTGAATAACCATTCAATAAATTTTAATATTACACTACTTCTTACCTCCACAATAGAAAATATAACAGACATAATATTCCTATCGTATGCTGCTGGAATAATTGTAAAAATTCCATTGAGAAAAAATGCAGGTATACATATAATTAGAAATATATCATCCAATAAACTGCGGTAATGTTGATTAATGTCTAATTTTGTTAACTGCCGGTAAGCTAGAATGCTACTAATTAACATAAGTGTCACCAGGAACATTACGTTCCACAGATGGATTTTGGTTGCCAACTCAAAATTATCCCTAAAACATATCATATTATTGAAAAGCATATAAAACTGAAGTATACAAAACCTACGTTGAAGATAATGTTATCATAAATAATATGATTCCAACAACAGATAGTAACATAACAGCAAGTCCACAGAATAATCCTTTATTTGCTGAGTGAAAATCTGCGTAAACTACAATGTTGCTTTCCATTTTTTCGGTATCTTCTGGATTTTCTTTACATTTAAAACTAAAAGATTCTTCTTGTTGGCCTCCACATACGTTTATATTTTGCCATATAATATACAAAACACCCACTGTAATTATAATTAGTAACGTTTTATTTTAAAATAACATGGTTCTACATTAAGTCTGAATTTAAATAAAAAAAATATATATCATATATTTTTGATAAACAAACATTTAAAATATATATTTTTGTTTTCAAATACTTTAACCAAAAATCATTGGTCATGAAGTTATGAGTTCTAATTAAACTTAAAATAATAAATTATACACATTTATAAAGTTAGTTCCTTAAAAAACGCTTTTTTAGAAAAAAAAAGAAATTTCAAACGAAAGTTCAAACAATGTTTGCCCACTTTTAGTTAATTGCCAAAATTACACTCAAAATTTATATTTACGGTCATTTTCCCTTGTACGACTTAGTTTTAGGAATTCCCAAAAAAATTCTGTAAAAAAGTTCATCCCATTAACAGTGCCACACGGAACAAACATTATGAAAATGCACGTATTTGGTTTTAACCCTTAGTTTTCTTATTTTTAAGTCAAGTTCATTTTTTAGTATTACAGTCAACTTTCTCCAACTTGATTGGTCATCTGACATGTTGAAGTCAAAAGCAGTTCAACTTTGAGAAAGTAATAAAAATTATGTAACTATATAAAGGTATCAAATTAAAATAAGTTTAAGTTACATATTCATACATACAGGGTGGGCTAAGTTTTCACGCTGTTTATTTCAAGTGTTACGTAAAAAAAATAAAAAACGCTTGCTGACATATATTTTTAATTTTACACTGTTTAAAATATCTGTGGTGTAAAGAGTAATCTTAAAATGGTGTCAAAATCCAACACCAAGTGGTGTTAATATAAACACCATGTATTATGGTTGAAAATGTTATATGCAGCAAACACCAAAACGGTGTTTATCTAAAAATATTTGAGAAGTGCACCTACACAGAAAAAAGGAATAGTTGACCTATAAATATTTATTTAAATCAACTGTGGGAAGGTTAATATAAACAAAGATTAGTTTGACGGTACTAAACCAGATAATTATTTTATTTTTTTTAATTGGTTAAATTAACCCAGAAAACTTTAGTGAAACCAACCTGCTGTATGGTTCAGTTTACTAAATATGTTGTTTGTAAAATAAGAGTTACTTCAACCTAAATCACTCTGTTAAAAGGATTAAAACAATTTGCCGTGCATTCCCGGTTACATAGTGTGTACTGATCGCGGCAAAGGCGGTGTGGATCACGTGATGTTCTTAAATCTCGCCTCTGTTGACTTACATGAAGAATATATAAGATCAGGTAGTCCTTTGCTTTGGTGTGACACTACAAGTTGTTCGATACTATAGAGACCTTAAATAGGTGGAAACAGCTGTCAATATTTGAAGTATTTTAAGTTAGAGGAACGCACTAAAAACATTATCTCTAGCGAGTTAAAGGTTCCATTTTCTGGAATAATACCACTGGTAATATACTAGTAATGCGTCAAGGAACTTCCTGTTTCCTTTTTTTCCCTTTTTTCTGTGTAGTATGATTTAATTTGACCAAAAACAATATTTAACACTGAAAAGGAGTTCAATTTACACCAGGTAAAATTTATTTTAATACTGTGTGAAAGTTAAATTTACACTATTTTAGTATTTGAATTTACACTGGACCAACGAACCATATTTAACACCATTTTGGTTTGTATCGATATAGACCATGTATGTATGGTGTTAATTTGGTGTTAAAATGGTCATGACATTTTGAACAGTTTAGGGGACAATGTTTTTTTATATTTTCAACCCCACACCAACCCCTAAGATTAGGTGATGATTACCCCCACAATTTTTAAAGGAAAGAGGGGTCGACTGATACCTTATTTTAAAGGCCTGTCATTTTGGTATTTTGGTTCCTTTCCGAGAAATTTTAAAAAATACTTTATTTTTTAATTATTTTTATTTTAAATATGAATTAAATTAAACTTAAAAAACAAAAATAGTTGTAAATTTTATATTTTTAATAAAAAATATTATATTATACAATATTGTTTTATGATTTTTAAAAATAAAGATTAGTGTAAAAATTTACTCATGTTACAACAACATATTACTTTGATGTATTTATGTAACAAACAATCCTCTTGTTTTTAACTCTAAATTTGAATAAAAACAAACGGTTGCACATTTATAATTTAATGGTATATTACATTATTATATTTTATATACGGCATTTTAATCACGAATTTAATTTAGGCAAGAGCAAGCGAGCGAGTGCTTAATTAAATGAGTTTGTACAAAAGTTTATAAACGATTTGCAAACTATACTTTTTCTACGACAAATACCTATTATTATCTAAAAATAATTAAAATTCAATATCTATAGAGCGACATCTCTACAATAATAGAGTAACCGTAGAAATGGAGATCAAAATTACCGGCGCGGCGGTGAAAATGTAAAATCTAAGTGTATCCCTTAAAAATGGACTAACAACCGATTTTACAGTAAAAGTAAAGAAAAACAATAAAATGTTAAGAAAATACAACTTAAAACTAACTTCAGCCCATGACTAAAACGTAATAAAACACAACTTGTCAATGTGTATTTAAAAGGTGGGAGTACAAATGTTATTAGTATTGTTTATTAAATAAATTTTAAAAACCTTTATAATTGCGTTTAAATACAAATTAAATAATAAATTTTGTAAAATGTTTAAAACTAGGTCAAGTATTATCAACAATAATTGAAAAACATCAATTCACCAAATATTTTTAAAAATATTGTCTATTTAAAAGGATTTAATTGGACGATATGCTTTTTTACAATAAATTTTTATTTTTTTTTATTTTGATGACAAATTTGACTACAATAATGAAGAAATCATTGATACGTCTTGGTATCGATCTGGTCACTAATCTCATAAGTAGAAATAAAGAGTATTATAATATTACCCACTAAGATGCTGTATTCGACACTAAATGGATATAAATAAGGAGAATAATTTTGATAAATTTTTCGCATTCCTTTATCTAAATCGCACACCTCTGTAAATCTTCTAAGGGTCGAGTTTAAGTACCTAAAATGCATTACTATTTATTTATATATTTGTTTAAAAATAATTAAGCTTACTTGGTTAAAACTTGAGCCCCTCTTTTGTTGTAAGTTGTTAATGCAGACGCTGTAGGTTGATCACTTAAAAAATTCATTTGAGGCATTTTTGCAAGCATTTCCATCTCTTTCATTTTATTCTCATGATTGTGGCTGTGATTGGACAAAGCTTGAATTGTTTCTCTAAAAATTGTCCAAACCCAAAAACAAATACTTGATGCAATACAATGCATTATACCAAACCGTGCAAGATAAACATGTTTGTTGATAATTATCTGAAATAATAATATTATGCATTATGTTGTTTAAAAAAAAACGATAAAAAAAACTTAAATTTTAATTTAAAAAATATGTAATATGTACACTAGGGTGTCCCTTATTTTTATTTTTTTTACGCATACCCTCTAATTATATTTATTACGTGTTTATATACTCCCAGTAAAAAATTTAGCTCATTCTATAAACGGGAACCCGTGCCGACTTGCATCTGAACCCTCCGTTAGCCAACGTTAGGCGCACGGTATTTTGTAACACGGTTGGTCGCGAGGTTTTCGATCGTAAGTCATTTTGTGTTAGTTATTATGTGATCCTTATATTATAAATTATTGACAAATGTTAAAATATAGTTTTATTTATGTGTATACTTTGATAAAAATGTATATTTTCACAGGGAGTGGCTAGTTACCCGGAAAGGTCTGGTGAATAGGCCGTAAACTCTGAAATTGATAAACTTAATGGGTTTTACTCTAAATAACTAAAAGAGTCTATTGTGAGAGACAGAGTTGGGAGTACTGAGTATTTTTTTAATGGATTATGCTATCATTACTAATTATTACTTGATTTTATAATTCTAATGAGAGAAAAATATTGAGTACTTTTTATTTTTTACTTTACCAATTTGATAATTACAATATTTTTTTTATTTTGTAATTATAATCAGAGAAAATATCAAGTAATTTTTATTTTAACCTAAAATGTTTACTGATTCTAAATATTTTTTTATTTTATAATTAAAAAATAATAAAGAACAGAATACATTGTATTTTTTTTTTTTGATTTGATTAGAATGGTGAATAAGGATACTTGCTTGTTTATGTTTTTATTGCGACTAGTTTCGATCTATATCACAGGTCTACAATGATTTTGGTGCCACTAAAAGTATAACTAATTTCAAGTACATTCGGTATCCTGATAAAAACTTGATACTTACTTTTTTAATGCTACGTGTAGTTTTTGAGATTTCGCAATGGTAAATAAATTAAAAATCATTTAATTAATTTTTTTAAAAACAAAATAACATTTAATTCAAAACATTTAAATACATTTACTTAATCATTATTTTTCAGGTTAGAAGCTTCTCTTTTAGATTTTATTAAAAAACAAAAGAACATTTAATTCAATACATAATTTTACAGGTTAGAAGCTTATCTTTTTAGATTTTCTCCGATGTATGTCTTCAGAACATTCCCTTGTAATACTCCAACAGTAATCTGCCATCATGTGCTCATCCCAGCGACCTTGGTATCTATCTTCCATCACCTTTAAATCTTGATGGAAACGTTCTCCTTGTTCTTCGCTATACGCTCCAAGATTTTCAGGAAACTTGTCTAAATGATTGTCCAGATAGTGTACTTTTATGCTCATATTACATCCAAGATTTTTAAAGCTAATTAAGAGGTTTTGAACTAACTCTTTGTAATTTTCGGCCATCTGATTTCCTAAAAATTTTTTTACAACAACAACAAAAGATTTCCAAGCCGCTGCTTCTAAATTATTCATTGAATGTATGAAATCGTTGTCTTTCATTAAAAGTCTTATCTGTGGGCCATCAAAAATACCAGCTTTAAGTTTTTCATTACTTAAACCGGAAAACTTTCTTGAAAGATAAACAAAACACGGACCAGTTTTATCTAATGCCTTAACATATTGCTTCATAAGTCCCAATTTTATGTGCAATGGAGGCAAAATAATCTTATTTCTAGAAACTAAAGGCGGGTTTATAATATTTTGCTTGCCAACCATCATATTATTTCTCAAAGGCCAATCTTTCTTGATCCAGTGGTCTATTTTTGCTCTGCTGTCCCATAAACATATGAAGCATGGAAATTTAGTGTACCCACTTTGTTGACCCAATAGAAAGTTGACCATTTTTAAATCGACACATATAACCCATTGGTGCTCCGAGTACTTAAGTTTTTTTAAAACAAGATCCACGTTTTGATACTCCTCTTTTAGTTTAGTTGAATGAGCAATAGGCACAGCTGCATGTTTATTACCAATATTTAGTAAGACACATTTTAAACTTCGCTTAGAGCTGTCTATAAACAATCTCCATTCTTCAGCTTTGTACTTTGAGAGCCCCAGTTTCATTAGAAGGCCACCAATGTTATTACAATAAACTATATCATTTCCTGAACTAAAAAATGGAAGAAATTCTTTTTCGCGATCACGATAAAATGTTATTTTTGTACCTCGAGATAAAAAATTTCTTTCTTTGAGTCTAGATGCTAGTAGCTCAGATCGCTCTTTCGAAAGGTCAAGGTCTCTAATCAAATCACTTAAAGCATCTTGAGGAAGAAGTAAAGGCACTGTTGACACTTCAAAATCACTGTCACGTTCATCAGAAAAAACTTCCACCATCTCTGTGTCCGACAAATCTGATAGATCTGAAAGATCTTGACTTATAGGAGATGGTACGTCATCTGAACACAGTCGAGGTCTTTTAGCAGACGGTAAATCAGGATATGTCATTTTTCTTTTGTTTATACCATGTAATTTTACAACACAAAAATAACAGTCATCAATGTGATTTTTCGGTTCTGCCCAAATCATTGGCACACTATACTTTAAATGATTACGTTTACCGTTTGCCCACTGTCTTAAATGTTCATTACACAACTTGCACACAATGTTTGGAACCCACGGTTTGTTCAAAGCCTTCATCTCTATATTAAAGTAATCAACGTATGTCTTCTTCACTGAATCTGTTATAGGTTTTCTAAACTTTTTCACTACATATTCACCACAAATGTAACAAAATATATTTGGATTATTTACACAACACCTTCTTGACGACGACATATCGATATTATTAATTAAAAAATAAATTAATTAATTATAATGACATCAATTGTGATAAAATACATTTTTTAGGTTATTATCGATTAATACCAACCTAAACGTAGCTTCAAGATTTTGACAGCTTCGCACGACATCTTGCAGGCTAATTAACCAAATTATAACATAGAATTTGCGGCACCAAACAAAAAAATTTTTTTTGTAGACCTGTGTATTAGATCATCTTCAGGCAAACTACAAAAATATGTAAAATTATTATAAGGTTATGTTAACATGATAATGATAAAATTAATAGTTTAAAGTAACAATACAATGGTTGATAACAAATATTAAATACTTACATGTCAATAATTAAAATATTTGTAAAAAGGTTTATCAATTATATTAACTATATGCATAAAGATAGTTTTAGATTCTGATTAAAATTATTTACAATATACAATGACTTGAAGGACGATGTATTCTTGGTACTTGTATTTTCATTTATATTTTAAGTACAATCAATTTTTTACTTTGACTTTAAACTTTTTGCATTACGAAGTACTAAAAAATATTATTTATTCAAATTAATAAGTACAATTATTTTTGTATTTTTACTTTAAATCAATTTAGAGTAAAAAATACAATGTATTGATAATTTTTATTTTCTCCATTCTCAAGTAACTTAAATATTCTAATGGCAATACTTTTTAAGTACAAATCTCGCAACTCTGGTGAGAGATGACTACCGAAAACTTATTGAACTGTCTGAAATATTTTTGCGAGGACATCAAGGAAAGAAATGCTTATAAAAAGCTGAAATTTCATATAACAGTATATTTTAGCAATACTAATTAGTATATTAATATATTTAAAGGATAAAATTAACTAAATTAGTGAAACAAATGATAGAAAGAAAAGCAATAATATTAATTAGTAATCATATTTAATAAAATCATTAGAAAAATACAGTCATGAAGTATATCTTCTTTTTAAAGTGTTTCGTACCGCGCGCGCCTAACGTTGGCTAACGGAGGGTTTAGATGCAAGTCGGCACGGGTTATAGAATAAGCTAAAATTTTTACTGGGAGTATATAAACAAGTAATAAATATAATTAGAAGGTATGCGTAAAAAAATAAAAATAAGGGACACCCTAATGTACACGTTTTACGTATAATATTCATATATAACATTTTAAGTGTCGAGTATATAGTCCCCCTAAGGGTTTGGGAGACTTGAGCCACTTTTTACATAAAAATCAACAAAATCCTTACTAAGAATTAATTCGACATTAAACCATTTAAAAATAGTCCCCCATGGATCTGGGAGACTTTAAATAAAAATCAATAAAACCCTGTGGAGATTTCATTTAAACTCTAGCGCCAGCCCCACTATTTAATAACGATATGTAAAATATTTCATTGTGGTTAAATATTTATTTTACTTTGCATTATACAGGGTGTCCCAAAAAAAATGTATTTCCGGAAAATATATGTATTTTTTTTCATATTTCTTGTTAAATATGTATATTAAATTAAAAATTAAAAAAGACAATTATATGTATATTAAATTAAAAATTAAAAAAGACAATTTCTTTCTTCTTCTTCATTTTATTGATGTTCAACAAGAGTACTTTTAACGTAGAAAACTCTATTTTTTATATTGTGCAGCCAACCTGCAAAAAAAATTGTATACAAAATTTGGGGCCTAGGCCCTGTTTAATACACTCATAAACAACATTATTTCATTTAGTTGCTATGTTTAAATTCAGAATAAAAAGTTAAGTAAGCATACTAAATTGCATTATTATCTTAAACTATTTCAGAAATAATAATAATAAACCATCTTTAGGGTTGCCCCTTTAGGAGGATGCAGCTCCCTTAGAAGCCAGTTGCGGACCTAAGTTTATAAGACAATTTCTTTCTATTTTTGTCTGTAGAAACCACATGTAAAGTATTGCACACTGTGTTCGGGTCACCATGTTAAAAAGATATAAAATAATCCATGTTCTGATCTAGGAAGTTTTAGATTCTTAAGATTTAATTGGTTATATTGACAATTCTAAGCAGGCCATTTTTAACATACATAAATATGATTTAATGGTTTACATATTTAAAATTAAATA